TTGTATGAATGCAGTTCACACAGGAGATCACATACAATTTGCATATATTTGGAAATATGAACCGCAATGCAAAAAAAATCGGATTTCACAAAAAAAAAAACGAAATTGAGCATCAAGGCCTGCAGTGTGAACGTAGCCTAAATGATTTGGGGCAGTCCTGCCTGGGTTCTGACTTGAATTTCATGTAGAACCTGTGGAGGGAGCTAAAGATGAAGGGGATGATAATATAAAAAGCTCAGGTTCTGCTGGAGCTCTTTGCTTTTTAGAAACTTCTGATCAATAAATCTATGAGAGACAAACAGAATTTTATCCGGAGAACAAAAGAGCTGAAAAGAAAGGAGCTGATGTTTTATGAGCAGAAACTTTCAGGTAAAGTCTAATTAATCAAACAGCTTGTTGCTAGTGCAACCACGTTTTTGTCATTTTTGGGAGAAAGAGCACATTTCTTCTTTATTTGGCCCACAAATCGTCTCTTTTGGCCCAGGTGGAGTTTTTGCAGCTCTGAGCGGGAGGCCTTTTCTCTGCAGGAGCAGTGCGGTTTGAAATCAAGCTGTATTTTTTGCAGAGATACAAAAATTTAAAGTTAAACCTCTTTATTCTCTGTCATTTGGAAATATACCACTTTGGAGGTGAATAATGTCTAAACTATCCCTCTAAAGAAAGTTTAATTCAGAAACATGAAATATGCAAAGGTGCAACAACAATAATAAATAATATCAATTGATCGAATTACCTGCTGGTCTGCAAACATTGGTACTGTTTTAGGTTTTTGAGAAAGAGTTAGAATTTAGTTAACATAATCCATGAAGTTTAGTGAATGCTGCAGGAAATGCTTTAGAATAAAAGGCTAAACTATACAGTATCTTCTTTAGAAGACAAGTTGCTCAGCTTTTCCATCTTTAGGAGGAGCAAGTTAGAGGAGAAAGGGTGAGGAGGTGAAGAAGGAAGATGTAGTTCAGCTGGAGGTTCTTCTCCTAGGCCCAGAGGAGGAACCTGAGTGTGAGCTGATCTCTAAAGGGCGGGAGACGAGTAAATCACTTTTTGTGCTGGCAGAAGATGGTGTGAATGAGAGCGGTGAAAGAATATGAGCAATGGAGGCATGGAGAGGTGAAAAGGGTGAGGAGGAGGAGGGGGTAAAGGAGGTAGCATGGGAGTAGAAAGAGAGCAGGAAAATATGAGTTCAGTCTGAGGGAGAAGAGAGAAAAAATAACATATTTGGAGCCTGAAAGTAGAAATGTCATTTATTGTCCCTCAGTGGGAAATTTCAGACATTCCAGGAAGAAAATGGCAAGTTAGAAAATGCAGATAAACACAACAGCAAAATATAGAAGTTAAGAGTAAGAATGAGAGACGGTACAGTGCCTCAACATAGCTAACCTAATAAAAAGCACAGGAAGCGGAGGGAAGGTAAAGCACTAAACAATTAGCCTCGTGAGATCATCCTGATCTCGCAAGCTTTCAAGATTTAACCCGCTAATCAGTCTGGAGACTCTCCGTTGAAGAAAATTTGGAGCTGTTCACCAAACGAACGTCCAATCAGCGTTGGCTTTGAGGCGGGTTGAGGTGTGACGCAACGAGAAACTAGCGTTAGCGTGGCTATCAAGCAAGTTTTATCGGAGTATTTCTTCACTAAAACAAGAGCAAAACACTGCTCTGGAGGCTTTTCTCAGAGGAAAAGATGTTTTTGCTCTTCTCCTGACTGGTTTCGGCAAGAGTTTGATCTATCAATTGGCTCCTCTTAGTCGTCGCTCTGTTACATCATATGCTTTGTTGATCTGATTGGTTTATTTGACCCGTCTATCACCAACATAGGTCAATCAGCTAACCAGTATTTTCGCCCCTTCCCAAAATTACTTCAACCGAAGGTTTCCAGATGGATATGCGGAGAAAATCCATCTGGCGGAGTCAGGTTACTAAACAATCACATTTATAGAATTTTTAGTGCCTTTAAATGCTTTGAGAAACTCTTCAGTTTGAGTCAGCTATGATCCACTGGATCCAACTGTGGGACGTTTTTCAAAACGTCTAAGTGTAGCCGCTCCCTACAGCTGGTTATTACTGCAGGGATGAGCTTCAGCATATGTGGGCTTAACCTGACGAGTAACTTGTTGCTTTGTTCTTCAGCTGAAAACATCTTATCGGTTGTTTGACCCCTTACCTCTCCTTCCTTCAGGTGGCAGAACATTCTATGTGAATATGACTGTTTATCGATAAAGATTTCATCTCATTCGAACGGTTTGTAGAAGTGTAGAGAGAATCCACAGCAAACTGTCTTTGAGAAGAACCACTAAAACATCTCGCCTTCCTGCCTGCTGAATGCCTTTTTCCTGTAGATAGAATCTGGGCTCCTTGTCTGCAGCAGACAGATGTTGTCCTTTTGCTTTCTTCTGCCATCCTGCAGCCTTTGTGGATTCATCCATGAACCAGTTGTCCCACTGTGGCTGGATCCTACTGGAGTCGGTGTCCCGTTCAGCCAAACGAAGACTTGCCAGCTGCAGTCGGACCCTGAACAGGCCGAGACAGCTGACTTGAAATCAGACGCCTTCATCTCTTGTGCGTGCTGAAGATAGGGAAAGTCGTTACTGCCTGACCTGTAATATCAAGAAAACACTTAAACAGCACCTGTCTGACGACATGAAGTAGGCTGTAGGCTACATTAACTTGAATCACATCAGGGTGGTATAAACAAATACATTTATAAAATATAAATGGATGAGTCGTAAAGTAAAAACAAAAGACGAAAAAAAGCTGAAAATATTGTTTTGAGATTTTGTTTTCATTCACGGAAAGATTTATTCTTGTTATGGAATACTTAATATTAATAATCACTATCTGCATTTATCTAACTAATTCTGAATGAAAGGGCTCTCTATAGCGGTAGCCTTAAACAACTGTCCAATGTGTTTAAATGAAAGTCAATCAAAGCAGAGCAGGTTCAAAATTCCTTTGCAGTTTTTATAAACAGCTTTATAAAAACTGCAAGGGGGGGGGACTTATCGGGGGCTCTCAGATTTATTGTTCATATTTCTACGTTTTCGCAGAAACTTTGATCTAAAATCTTTGTACAAATGAGGATATAAGAATGCATTTCATATCAAAGCTAACATAAAGCACAGAGGCTTTATGTTAGCTCCTTTTTGTATTTGATCTTGTTATCATTTTACAGTCATGGATGTACAATGGACTTAAAAAAGAATGTTATGGTCAATAACTTCAAACTTACTGTAATATAACCACCATAAAAGCAAGATAAAACGTTCATAAACTGCAACGGAGGCTTTCTAAATGCCACGTCCTTTCTTGGTTGTGCTTTTTGAGTGACAGATGAATCATAGGAAATGGAATTGATGTGAACGGTAGTGTGACAGCGACATATTTGAACACCAGGTATTAGTCAGGATTTTATTTTTGTATTACATGATTCCTGATCGTCAATTGGAATATGACCTGTTACCATAGGCATGCAGAGCGTAAAGCATCTTCTTCTGCTGCTATGCCATCAGTACTTATGGCAAACATGGGGATAACTCCTACCTAGTCCTGCTGGTTTTCTAAATTGAAAGAGAAGAATATAGGTAGAGAAACTCCAGAGGTAAAGCCTTCAAATGTGGAGGCTTCTTTGTTCTTTGGTTGAAGGAATATTTCCACAGTGTATCAGGCCACATGTATCATGCCTGATAAACCTCTATCAGCCACATTGTTAGCCCAGGTCAGGTTGTCCAGGTCACGTCCTGCAGGTCATGAACCCATAGAATGGAACCTGTAGGGAGGATTTTCCTTTACTTGCTGTTTGTTTGGTTGTTTTCAGGACATTCTTTGCCATATGGTGACCTGTGGGAACATTCCTGCTTTGTTTGCACAGTATTGTTTCAGCCTAAGAGGTAATAAAGGGTCTAAGTGAATGATACAGCAGGTATTGAGACAGGTTCACTCCTACAAACTGCCTTCTTCCTGTTTGTCCCTTTTAGGGCTTTCCTTCACCACCAGGCTGTATCTTTATCCCTCCCTTTACTGCCTTCATGTTTAATCTTTTACCTCTTCTCTCCCTGTATCATTTTTTGTTCCCTCCATCATTTCCTCCCACCTTTCCACTTCACTCCCTCCATTTGTTTTTGCAGTGTACTATTCCACAGAAGTCTGGCTACTGAGCGGTCAAGGTCATGCTTGATTTTATACCTCAGCATGTCATCTCCGTCCATTATAAAATCAACTCCTCGGGTTTCCTCCTACTGGGAGCTATCTTTGTCCTTTTTTGAAAGAATATCAAGAACTTATTAGAAACAGAGGAAAATCAAACCAGGTTTGAAGGCATTCTCTCTGGTTTAATCTTGAAGAATTAATGGACTTTAATATTTGCAAGTTACAACGTTAATTCATCACTGATATGCAAAAAACAATAGCATACTCTCACATTTGTGATGGCTACTATTTGAATACAAACAAGATTATTCTGACTGAAAACTAACTTTCTTGGCATGTCGGATGGCATGTTTAGTTTTATTGCAAAGTTTAAAGAAAAGGCAGCTTAGAAAGGATCTGGACCACATTAGGATCTGTCCAGTTAAAAAAAAATAAAAAAAGCAACATGGAAAAACATTCAGTTTTAATTGTCTTTTTAAGAGGTGTACTTTAGTGTTGAATATTTACTCCAGGACATTTTACGCAACATTGCTTTTTATTTGGAGAAAGAAAGCCAAAGAAACATTGTTTTATTTTCCTTCTGCTGCCCAATAATGCAGAAGTCTGTGATGCTCTGTTACAATTAATCTGTTGAAACAGTGAGTTAGTATGTACAAGAGTTAGCATTTGGTCAAAGGGTGTGATTACTTTTGAAAGTAAAGTGTTTATCTGTTTGTGTTTAGATCTGAGTGCAAACAAAAATCACATCTACCCAAGAAAAAAATGCATTATAGACCAAATCTTCACTGATCTACAGGGAATAAACATCCTGTAGAATAAAACCAACTGGCATTATCATCTTCCTTTTTTCTGTGCCTTAGGTCCTCCCAAGGTTTCAGAGAAGGTGAACCCTCGTCAGAGTGTCCGACTGGGTCGCACAGCCAAGCTGCCTTGCCCTGTGGAAGGAGACCCGCTCCCCATCATGATCTGGTCCAAAGACGGTCGAAATATCAACGGTGGCTGGACCCGGTTCAAGGTGTTGCAGCACAGCCTTCGCATAAAGGAAGTGGAGACGGACGATGCAGGCACCTACATCTGTAGGGCTATCAATGGGTTTGGCAGCGCCAACATTAACTACACCCTGATTGTCATAGGTAGGTGACTTCTAAGAACTTGCTTACCAATCATATATCCAATGATTATCAAACATAACAGAATAAATATATGTATTAGGCCCAAGCAGCAAAGCGCTGCAAAGGCCTAATCCAATTTGAATGTTTATTTTTTTCTTCCAAAAAGACATGCCCATTGGAAGGCCTAAACTTTTATAAAAACTCATCAAAGTTGCCCTTAATTGTCCTCCATGTGAATTTTAAGAGTTTTAAGGCATTTTAAAATGGGCATGTCCGAACGGCTCTAGAGCACCCCTAAATTAGATAGTTCTATTTTTCTTTTACCCACGTCAAACTTTAATTTCCTACAGATTTTGACATTTGGGCTTTAAACCTGGTCTTTATGCAGTTAAGGCACGTGAAATTGAAAGAGTTTTTGATTATGTCGAAGGGGCGTGGCCAGAAACTGAAGGTGGCATATTTGAAATGCATTAACTTTTACAAGGAAAACCCAAATAGAACCAGAGCTAGTAGTGTGTATCCCCTTCTTATTCCCAATTTACTGTCTGGTTAAATGATGACATCATGCATGCCCCACCCCTAGACTGAAGTAAATCACTTTTTACTTAGAAGGGTCCCTCTTTGGCCCTTTTGACCATATTGAAACTGTCAGATGACAGATAGCATCTTGGTCTAACTTATCTCTATCACAGAGTGTTTGTTGAAGGGTGTTCAGGTAGAGGCATGGCCAAGTGCAGCCTTACGCCTTGACCACACGTTTGGTCCTTATTTCCACCAACATTTTTGAATCCACACCAAAATCTATATGAATATTCCTAGTTCAACTTCACACTGGAAGTCAGGCCAATATGTGGTGGGTTTGGCTTAATTTCTCTACAGCGCCCCCTAGAAGAAACAAAAGCCGACAGCCTCAACCCAAATGCACCGACACCAGGACCTACAAAAAAAATCTCATGATCCATACCCCATGAAAGGTCAGCCATTTTTGAGCCATGGTGCCAGTTTCTCTCATTTGCTGGTGTCTTATCTAAGCAAACGCCTCACAGGGTTACAGACTTGAAATTGACTCAGCATAGACTTAAGGCAATGGGGATCAAAATATTTTGCTGCATCAAAGCATCTGGGAGTGGCCAATCATCAAATTCTGACTTCTCACCATAAATCATGGTGTTATAACTTCCACTTGGGTCCCTTCCACACACCTGGTATCATTGCAAAGCACCAGAAGCTCTGGTCAACGGCTCAATCCGTGTCCCGTCAGACCATCAAATCTTCCTTTAGAAAACATGTGCAGCTGCAGATTTCGGTTTACCTAACAGTTTGTGAAGATTTTATTCTGGTTGGGTCTCCTCACACCAGACTTAGTGGTTCCTGATGCTAAACTGGCCTAACTGTGGGCTAGGGCTGCAACAATGGATTATTTTGCAAATCGATTAATCTGTCGATAATTTATTTGCTTAATTGATTAGTAATCAGATAGCCAAAGGTTCTTTAATACAAATTTAAACCAGGTGAAACTCAAACTTTTCCACTTAAGGATTTATGGATAGAGCATATTGACAGGTGAAATGAAAAATGTTGATTTCTTTCTTTTCAATCTTGGTATAATTGCTGTTCTAAGTCGGTTGCTCTATTAGCTAAAGGCATGTTTTACAGTCTCTATACTCCAGTTAGCAATTAATCGATTACTAAATTAGTTGACGATTATTTCAATAATGGATTAATCACGATTAATCTGATGTAAACATTTTCATGACATAGAGACGGTCATGTTTTAACACTTCTTGCTACACAGTAAATGTCCAGCTTATTTCCCACCGTCTGTCGGTTCGTTCCCATACTGTCTCATTTCTTCATCCGAGATCTTTTACCGTGACCCTGTCAGCAGCTCTTGCACAGGTGTGTTTTCTTTTCCGTACCCGCCTTAAATAGCCGCTTCCCTCAACCCTTGTCCATGTAAACAAAATACCTGCAGAAGGACATTGTGTCAGTGGACCGTTGCACACATCAGAGTGTGTCTGAATGTTTGTGGATAGGCTTTGTGTGTGTCAGGTTTCAGTCAGTTAGTGCGGATGCCAGCAGAGAGATTAGAGGTTCAGAGTGTCCCCCAGAATCTGACTGAGGCATCTCCCCCTGCTCTGCTGCGGCACTTCAAACACCGTAGCTGAAGTAAAATGCTCCGACGTACAAACGGATGTTCTTTAACTTTATGTTGTAAAGGCTGTGCAGGATCTCTGCTCAGTGCTTTCCAAGGGCGAGTCCTGATCATGGGTATCTTAGATGAAAAAACGATCTGTGATTCAGATGATTTAAATGTAAACAATTAAGAGAAAAGAACCTCAAACTGGCCTAATGCCAGCAGATGATCGGCTTTCATGCTCCGCAGTAATCAGTATTGGTATGTGATTCATGAACTGAACTACAAAGACGAGCTGGCATACAGAGGGCAGGCGGGTGTAGGGGGGGTACAACAGCTGCTACTGAGGTCATCCAGGCAGGCAGCTGCTCCCCACCCTCACCCATTGCTCTCATTCACTGTCCCTTTTCATTCACTTCACATGTGCACGCAACCACTGAAGCAAATGCACACGGGCGAATCGTTTCTCCCTGCGGCCAGCCTTGAATTGAGCAACACATTTATTGAACCAGTTTTCTTCTGCTCCCAACGGTGTGTTGATGAAGAAACCATCTCAGGGACGGTGGGACATCATGTCTCAGCCTTTTGGCCAACATTTATTAGTTACAGTTCTCTGTCATAAGCTGAAAACAAGCGTCCAACAAGACTGCTAGTACCTCAGCAGCTTCTTCAGAGACGATGATGGGGTACAGATCCAGTTTGGTCTTATTCATTTTTAAAATTCACCTAATGCCAGATGGTTTCGACAAGAAATTCACTTCAGTTTAGGAGAAGGAGCCTTATCTTGATTGTTTTATTGAATTATCTTTGTTTAATAAGGATTTTGATGCCTGATAAGGACCTAAAGTTCTAGGCTAACTGGTTTTAATACATTTATTGAGTGTATTGCTTTTATCTAACTACCACATCTGTATTTTATGAATGTTTTTTCTAGGGCTGCAACTAACGATTATTTTAAAAATCGATGAATCGGCCGATTATTTTTTC